TTGAGGCACATTAAGTTTTTGCCCCCAAGTTTTAAATTTTGAAAAATTTGGCCGGGTGCGGTGGCTCACGCCTGTAATCCCAGCACTATGAGAGGCCAAGGCGGGTGGATCACGAGGTCAGGAGTTCAAGACCAGCCTGGCCAATATGGTGAAACCCCATCTCTACTAAAAATACAAAAATTAGCCAGGCATGGTGGCAGGTGCCTGTAATCCCAGCTACTCAGGAGGCTGAGGCAGGAGAATCACTTGAACCCAGGAGGCGGAGGCTGCAGTGAGCCGAGATCAGGCCACTGTACTCCAGCCTGTGCGACAGAGCAAGACTCTATCTCAAAAAAAGAAAAAAGGAAAACCTCCAGAGAAAGTGTAAGAATAGTACAGTGAACACCCAGTAACTTCACCTAGATCCACCAATTGCTAACATTTTGCCAAATTTGAGTTAACTTTTTCTTTTGTTGAACTTCCCCTCATTTACTTTAATATGTATCTAAGCAAAAAGATATTACTAACAAACAAAAACAAACAAAACCAAAATAATAAACTCAAAAAAGAGGAAAAAGGTATTCTGCATAGTCACATTACAATCACAATCATAAATTTAACATTGATACATACAAGACCCTTCTCTAATACATATACTCTTTATTATATTTTCCCTGGATCTAGACACAATTGAGGATGAATATGTTAAACCTGGGATTCCTATTAAACATACACATAGTGATGTCAAGATGATAGAACATGAGTCTGGAATTCCAGGAGAAGGCTGGATGTTTTGTAGTGAGAAAGTGAATTACTAGAGAAATATAGTTAGACTATATTTCTAGTCTAATGGGTGCCCATTTAAGATTGATGAATATAAATTTAAAATGGAGCCAGGCACCGTGGCTCACACCTGTAATCCCAACACTTTGGGAGGCCAAGGCAGGTGGATCACTTGAGCCCAGGAGTTGAGACCAGCCTGGGAAACATGGTGAAACCCCATCACTACAAAAAATACAAAAATTAGCCAGGCAAGGTGGTGTGTCCCTTTAGTTCCAGCTACTCGGGAGGCTGAGGTGGGAGAATCACCTGACCCCAGGAGGTCAAGGCTGCAGAGAGCTGTAATCATGCCAGTGTCATCCAGCCTAACAGAGCGAGACCCTTTCTCAAAAACATGAAAATATACAAATTTAAAATAAAATCAAGTCAGCCTAGTTGTGATTTTCTCTAGTAATATTCAGCTGAGTGGAAGTAGACAGTTGGTTTTCACTATGGTTGGGTAAATAGATTAGAGGTGTTAGGAGGCAAGTAATTTGATGGCAATTATAATGGAATAATTATAATGAAGGAATATGGATTCTATTCTGCGTAAAAAGGAAGCAAAGATAAAAGGTGATAAGCATTATTCTAAAAGTCTGTGATTACACAACACCAATTATTATTTTACAAGAAATATTAAATATTTGTCTTATGTAATATTTGCCTCTAGCAAAAAGACCACCCTGTAGCTTTTCTTTTTAAGAAAGCCAACCTTTATTATCAGTAAATCTGTACGTTCACTATGCAGACACTGTGTTTAGTTCAAAGGATACAAAGAAGCATATGAGCTGTAAGGGAACTGAGAAATCAGTCTACCACCCTCATTTCACAAAAGTACAGCAAAGGTTAAATGACTTATCCAAAATCACAATGCTTGCTCCTGGCAGATCCAAGGTTTCTGAACTTCTAGTCCAGTATTCTCTAGATCTCAGCCTCCAAAATATGTCATTAGAAAATTCCTGGAAGAATGTACAGATATTCACAGGGCTATCCTTGGGTAATGATAATGTGGAGACATTTCCTATTTTTCACTTCAGTGCTATTGGAATTGTCTGCCATGTACATGAACTGCTTTAATAATAAATATAATTGAGTTAGTTTTTTAAAGAAAAAAAACATGGCATGCTGTGCATAGCAACCAAAACTGGACACACTTCCCATTTTTTATTTACCAATTATTTTTAAACTCAAGGCATATTACCATTCTTGAAAAAATGCAAAGTACACCATTATTTAACAACTATACGCAAATGAAGCCATTTGGTGGATGATACCAAACTACTGCCCAAATCACTGAATCTTTTCTCACAATCTCAATGAGACATAAAAGTAAAAATCCGATTGCTACTATGCAAAGGTAAAAATAGATTGTCTATTGTAAACTGTAGTCAAATGCTTGTCTTCTTTAAATCAAGGGCACATATGTTCTCCACTCTCCACCTGGCTTACCATAAACTTCATCCCTAGAATCTGCTAAAAATATATTCGTTTTTTTTGAGACCGAGTCGTGCTCTGTCACCCAGGCTGGACTGCAGAGGCGTGATGTCGGCTTACTGAAACCCCTGCCTCCCGGGTTCAAGCAACTCTCCTCCCTCACCCTCCCAAGTAGCTGGGATTACAGGTGCCCACCACCACACCCAGCTAATTTTCATTTTTAGTAGAGGCAGGGTTTCTCTCTTAACTCCTGACCTCAGGTGATCTGCCCACCTCAATCCCCCAAAGTGCTGGGGTTACAGGCATGAGCCACCACACCCAGCCTAAAAAAATATTCTTACAATTTTATTTTCTTGAAGACCCCGTATGAAATGTATTTTCCCTGATATTCACAAGAAAGGTTAACTATTTTATTAGGTTCTAATTCTAGCGAATTAAAATTTTAAAGGAGGCTGGGCGTGGTGGCTCATGCCTGTAATCCCAGCACTTCGGGAGGCCAAGGCAGGTGGATCACAAGGTCAGGAGTTCAAGACCAGCCTGGCCAACATAGTGAAACCTGGTCTTTGCTAAAAAGGGGCGTGAGCCTGTAGTCCCAGCTACTCAGGAGGCTGAGACAGGAGAACTGCTTGAAACCGGGAGGCAGAGGTTACAGTGAGCCGAGATCGTGCCACTGCACTCCAAGCCTGGGCGACAGAGTGAGACTCTTATCTCAAAAAAAAAAAAAAAAAAATTTAAAGTAGCTTATTTCAGTTTCTTGGGTTAGCTTATGGCTTCAGATATATTCGTCAACACAATCCCTCCAAGTAAACTCAAAGTAGATGAATGTGCAAAGAAGCTAGAGTTCAAACAAATTTGGCAGTGGCCACATAGTTCCCCAAGACACTTAAAGGGAAAGAGGCTGGCTTAACTGGTTTTGTTAATAAAAAGGAGAACAGAGCAGCGCCAATCGCCTAGCTCCTAGTCTCCATTCCACCCCACTCTACTCCAGAATAATATGAACTAGCTTAGGATTGCCACACAGACAAGGTAGGCAAATGATATGATGTTAAGTTCTTTGTTCCATGACTTAACTGTGCTACACTCCCATTTTTTGGATGTGAGGCTTGTTCTGATGGCAAAAATCATCAGACCTTAACCTGGGTTTCAAATAATCATTTAAACATAAGGTTTTGGCAGGGCGCAGTGGCTCACACCTGTAATCCCAGCACTTTGGGAGGCTGAGGCAGGCGGATCACCTGAGGTCAGGAGTTCCAGACTAGCCTCGCCAAAACAGGGAAACCCCATCTCTACTAAAAATACAGAAGTTAGCTGGGTGTGGTGGCATGTGCCTGTAGTCCCAACTACTTGGGAGCCTGAGGCAGGAGAATCGTTTGAACCCGGGAAGCAGAAGTCGCAGAGAGCTGAGATTGCACCACTGCGCTCCAGCCTGGGAAGAAGAGCAAGACTTCATCTCGAAAAATATATATTTATATATAAAAAATGTGTTTTTATATATTATATACTTTATATATTTTTAAACATATATATATATGATTTTAACTGTAGCCGTTCTTATACTAAGCAGTGGCTCTACTCTTTAGGAACAGGGATTGTCAAACTATGGCCAGAAAGCCAAATCCAAAACACAAAGCTTTCTTGGAACGCTGCCATGTGCCTTTATCTATGACTGCCTTCCCATTAGAACAGCAGAGTTGAGTGGTTGTGACAGAAACGGCATGGCCTGCAAAGCCTAAATATTTACCATATGGCCCTCCACAAAAAAGTTTGCTTACTCTTTTGAGATTGCTTCCTCTCTCATCTACATAAAAGATCCTTCATACCCTGCCCACTGCTGAGCACTAACTTCCCAACCTATTGTCCCTCACTCCCTTTGTTCCAGTTTTACAGTAACAGTTGCAGTTATCTAAATAAGCCATGCTCTTGCTTAATTCAGAATCCATGTACTCCCGACTGTCTCCGCTCTGAATGTCATCCTCTCCTTGCCAAATCATTTCAAATGGTCCTTGGAACTTCAGTCATCTCCTCCTGCATCTTCCATGATGCCCGCCCCTCTAATGCACAACAAACTTTTGCGCAATACTGTAATTCTTACAGCAGCCTCCCTTACTAGTTATTTAATGGCAGAAGTTGTCTTTTGTTGCTTACTCCTATCCCTTAACCCGTAGTTGACACACAGTAAGCGCTGGACACTTAGTTCAATTCTTGAGGGGCCTCCATCGGCTTGTGTGGCTCTGGAGCTACCTGGGCTGGAAATGAATACTGGGGGGTCGCGAGACCCAGATGCCCTAAGCAGAGACACGTGGACTACAGGGAGGTGAGGCAACCTCCGCAAACACCACCTGTTCCAGAAAAGCTCCAAATGCTCCAACGGGCGACCCCTCTCTTTTCTAGCTTTTCTTGCATAGCTTGCCACCTCCAACAGTAATTTGTGACGGGTTTTTAGACCACCACTCTTGGGAGGAGAGACCTCCTATGTTACATCGATCTGGGCAGACAGCATGTCTTCCAAACTATCCAGAAAGACTTCCTCCACCTCCGCCCGGGCCTCGCACCTCGGAGGACTCCAGGTTGCCGAGGGGCGGACCCCTGGGGCCCAGGTGAGAGGTGGCAGAGGGTGCCAGCATCGCCGGTGTCCAGGCCGAGAGCCCGGTCCCAGCCTAGCCAGGCCGCGCCGCCGCAAGCCTCCCAGCCTCCCGGGTTCCCTCGGCTCCCCTCGCCACCTGCGGCCTTGTTCCCATCTCCCTCGCTCCCAACCCGGCAGCTCTCACCTCGGTCCCAGACTCAGCCCTATGGAAGTCACTACACATCGCCCCGAAGGCTCGGCGCAAGAGACACTCAACTTTCCCGCCACCAACGCCATTCACCAACGGCGCAGACGCCACTGCCCGTCAAACCAGCCCACGCGCGCGCGTGCGCACTGTGCCAGGCCGCGCCGGGGAGGCGGGAGCATGCGCAATAGGGTGTGCGGGCCACCACCGCCCCCAGTTCCTGTGACGTCAGACTCCCGCGGCCCCCGTGGCGCTCTCCAGCGTCTCCTTGGAGACCGGGCAGGGGTGGCGGGGAGAGCTGGTGCTTTGCTTTTCTTCCCTGTTGTAAACGTTGGTTCGTTATTATTACATTAGGTAAGACTGACCTTATGTACTTAATTTGTTTAACCTTTAAAAATACTTGTACTGCACAAGCAGGCCCCTTTGTCCGTTCTCGGGTTAAAAGCCTCAGGCTGTGTGTGCGATTCCTGGTTAATTCTGGGAAAAAAGAGAAAAGTATACTATATTTAAAAGAATTTTAAAAATATACCGGGCCTGTGGATTTATCAAGTTGCTTTTTGAGGTGGGCAGGAGGATCACTTGAGGTCAGGAGTTCGAGACCAGCCTGGCCAAAATAGTGAAAAACCCTGTCTACACTAAAAATACGAAAATTAGCCGGGCATGGTGGCAGGCGCCTGTAATCCCAGCTACTCAGGGAGGCTGAGGCAGGAGAATCGCTTAAACCAGGGAGGCAGAGGTTGCAGTGAGCCGAGATTGCGCCATTGCACTCCAGCCTGAGCGGCAGAGCGAGACTCTTTGTCTCAGGAAAAAAAAAAAAAAAAAAGACAAAAATTTGGATGTAGTAGCACTGGCCATTATTATCAAGATGACAAAATGTTTTCTGGAATGAAAAAGTTTCATGCAAAGATATACTTTTCGCCCACCTAGTTTAGTTTTCAAAAACGCTGGGAAAGAGCATGTAACAATGAAGTATTTCTCATACGTAATATTAAAGTTGCTCGTTTTGTAAGTTAGAATGGTTTTGGTTGCAAGTCACGGAAAACCCAACTCTTATTTACTGAAACAAATGGGCTTTACCGGGTGACATCACTAGAAGTCCAAGGGTAAGACAGGCTTCAAGTTTAGTTTAATTGAGAGGCTTAATTAGGCAAACAAGTACCTCATTTCTTTCTACCTCAGATTCATATTTTCTACCTTGGCCTCTTCTCTACCTAGGGTTTCAGACCCACATCTGAAACATTAACAACTATCAGGAGTGAGATTGGTCTGGTTAGCTTAGGCCTGAGCCGTGTGTCCCACTTCTTTTTTTCCTTTTTTTTTTCCTTTTTTTTTTTTTTGAGACTGAGTCTCGCTCTGTCACTCAGTCTGGAGTGCAGTGGCACGATCTCGGCTCACTGCAACCTCTGCCTTCCGGGTTCAAGTGATTCTTCTGCCTCAGCCTCCCAAGTATCTGGGACTACAGGCACATCCCACCACGCCTGGCTAATTTTTGTATTTTTAGTAGAGACGGGGTTTCACCATATTGGCCAGGCTGATCTCGAACTCCTGACCTTGTGATCCGCCCGCCTCGGCCTCCCAAAGTGCTGGGATTACAGGCGTGAGCCACTGCACCTGGCCCCATGTGCTCCACTTCTATCTGGAGTACAGACATTCTTTCAAAGCACATAGGCTCTGTGGAAAGGTGTGCAGAACAGTGAATGACAACAATAACAACAAATTGTGAATCACTAACAAGACGAGTGAGAGTGGATGCTTGGGAGGCCACCTCTACCGTCTTTTTTTTTTTTTCTTTTTTCCCTTTCCTGTGGTGCCGAACCACCTCTATCTTCATTATGCCCTCTGTAATGAGGATATGTGTGTACCAAACCACATATGTAGGTCAACCCCCTCGTCCATTCCACACACTTCTATACAAAGTAAATATTTCCTCACATAGTAAATCAATATTTGAGAAAGGAGACTTTACAATTGAATAGCTGCTCTAGGCTAAATTAGTTTTTCAGTCTCCACGCTGTTCCTAATGAAGACGACATGTCAGCTGAACTAGTTTAGTCCATTGAGTGCACACCTGTTTGTGTGAGCACAACATGGTTTTGAAATTACTTCAGTTTTAATGTTCCAGAAACATCCCTTCTTGTTTAAAAGGATACTTGAAGCGCTCTCAGAAATTGCTGGTAGACATGAAAACATACGGTCTTTTTGGAAAGGAATTTGGCAATATCTTTTTTTTTTTTTTTAAATTAATAGAGATGGGGTTTCGCCATGTTGCCTAGGCTGGTTTACAACTCCTGGGCTCAAGTGATCCTCCTGCCTCCTAAAGTGCTGGGATTATAGGCATGAGCCACTGCACCTGGCCGAAATTGGCACTATCTAACAAAATGATGCATTTATTAACTTTTTCACTCAGCAATCCTAATTCTAGGAATTTAGCTTGAAGTCATATTTCCAACATTGCAAAAACATGTATGCAAAAAAGCATATTGCAGCATGGTTTGTAATTGCAAAATCCTGGAAATGGCCTAAATGCATATACATAGGAGAGTGGTTGAAAACAATATGGCACTGCCACAAAATGGAGCAGTATGCAGCTGCAACAAAGAATGGCCAAGATCTCTATACATTTGTAAGGAATGATTTCCAGGATATAGCATTAAGTGAAAAAGGCAAAATGGGAAGGGGTGTCTACAGTTTGCTAGCTTTCTTGTAACAAGGGAGGGGGAAAGAAAAAGATACACATGTCTCTGCTCATCTGGGTAAAAAGAAACACAGGAAGAATATATGAGAAACAAACAGGATTCTTTATCTACAGAGGGTGGATAAAAATAGGTTGGAAAAAATAGAGGATGAAAATAGGGTAAAAGAGATGGCGTGAGGGATACTTCTCTACATGTAACTTTTTTTGACAGCTCCAATTTTTTTTTTTTTTTTTTTTTTTTTTTGAGACAGAGTCTTGCTGTGTCACCTAGGCTGGAGTGCAATGGCACAATCCTGGCTCACTGCAACCTCTGCCTCTGGGTTCAAGTGATTCTCATGCCTCAGCCTCCTGAGTAGCTGGGATTACAGGCTCCTGCCACCACGCCTGGCTAATTTTTGTATTTTCAGTAGAGATGGGGTTTCACCACGTTGGTCAGGCTGGTCTGGAACTCCTGATCTCAGGTGATCCACCAACCTTGGCATCCCCAAAGTGCCAGGATTACATGCATGAGCCACCATGACTGGCCAGCTCTAACTTTTAGAATCATATTAACCTCCTAAAAAAGAAATCATCAGTGGTTCACGCCTGTAATCCCGGCACTTTGGGAGGCCAAGGCTGGTAGATCACCTGAGGTCAGGAGTTTGAGACCAGCCTGACCAACATGGCAAAACCCTGTCTCTACTAAAAATACAGAAATTAACCGGGTGTGGTGTGCATGCCTGTAATCCCAGCTACTCGGGAGGCTGAGACAGGAGAATTGCTTGAACAGGGAGGTAGAAGTTGCAGTGAGCCGAGACCATGCCCTTGCACTCCAGCCTGGGCAATAGAGTGAGACTCTGTCTCAAACAAGAAAAAAACAAAACAAAAACAAGATCATGTCCTTTGCAGGAATATGGACAGAACTGGAGATCACTGTCCTTAGCAAACTAATGCAAGAACAGAAAACCAAATACCACGTGTTGTCACCTATAATTGGGAACTAAATGATGAGAACTCATGCACGAAAAGAAAGGAACAACACACACTGGGGCCTACTTGAGAGTGGAGGGTGGGAGGAGGGAGAAGAGCAGAAAAAATAACTATTAGATACTAGGCTTAGTAGTGACAAAATAATTCCTACAACAAACCCCCATGACATGAGTTTATCTGTATAACAAACCTGCACATGTACCCCTGAACCCAAAATCAAAATGTTTACAAATTGCCACAGTAGGCCAGGCACGGTGGCTCATGTCTATGGCGCCACTGCACTCCAGGCTGGTGACAGAGCAAGACTCTGTCTTAAAAAAAAAAAAAACTTATAGAATATTCCAAATGTCACAACAAAAGAGAGGAGGCTGGGCATGTGGTCACACCTGTAATCCTAGCTATCTGGTTGTGTGAGGCCAAAGGCGGTGGATCACAAGGTCAATAGATCGAGTGTACCATGCTTCTGTTGGGGCCTAACTAGGGTGAAATCCCTCACTCGAGTTTAAATTGTATACAAAAAATGAGCCGGCCTGGTGGTGCTCAGCCGTAATCCCAGCACTCTTGGGAGGCCAAGACTGGAGTATCGAGGTCAGGAGATCGAGACCATTCTGGCTAACATGGTGAAACCCCGTCTCTACTAAAAAAATACAAAAAACTAGCGGGTGGGTGTGGCGGGCGCCTGTGGTCCCAGCTACTCCGGAGGCTGAGGCAGGAGGAATGGCGTGAACCCGGGAGCAGAGCTTGCAGTGAGCTGGAGATCCAGCCACTTCACTCCAGCCTGGCGACCGAGCGAGACTCCCGTCTCAAAAAAAAAAAAAAACAAACCAAAAAATTAGCCAGGCGTGGTGGCAGTCACCTGGTAGTTCCAGCTACTCGGGAGGCTGAGGCAGGAGAATCACTTGAACCCGGGAGGTGGAGGTTGGCAGTGAGCTGAGATTGTGCCACTGCACTCCAGCCTGGCGACAGAGTAAGATTCCGTCTCAAAAAAAAAAAAAAAAATCGCCAC